TAATAATATATTATTTGTACCCCGCCCATCTGGCTGGGTCTTCCCAGCCACTCTGGGTGGCTTCCAACAAAGATTAAAAATACATTAAAATGTCACACATTAAAAACTTCCCTAAACAGGGCTGCCTTCAGATGTCTTCTAAATGTCAGGTAGTTGTTTATCTCTTTGACATCTGATGGGAGGGCGTTCCACAGGGCGGGCACCACTACCAAGAAGGCCCTCTGCCTGGTTCCCTGTAGCTTTGCTTCTCACAGTGAGGGGACTGTCAGAAGCCCTTGGTGCTGGACCTCAGTTTCACTTTTACTTAGTGTCAGATCACCCACATCACTAGAGGTGAACACCAGGTCTAAGACATGTCCATGACTATGAGTTGGGCCAAACTTATTCAGGGACTGCCCCATGGAGGCCATGCTTTCCACAAAGTCCCAAGCAGCCTCTTGTAGGGTCGTGTCAGCATGGATGTTAAAATCCCCTAGGACAGCCAAACTAGGTGTCTCCAGGAGAACATCCGCCATGACCTGAAGCAGCTTGGGCAGGGAATCTTGGTGCAGCGGGGAGAGCGGTACATCAAAAGGAATCCTGTACTGCCCCTATTGCCCAACGTCCAGAACATGCACTCAGAGAACTGGGTCTTCCCAATAGGACGCCTGGTGCAAGCTAGTGACTTCCTAAAAATCACTGCAACCCTCCTCTCTGCCCACATGACCTGGGTTGCTGTGACAAGCAGCAGTTAGGACAGGACCATCTGCTTCATCCAACCAAGTCTCTGTTACACATGCCAGGTCAAGTCCTCCATCCACGATCAAGTCATGGATAGCAGTGGTCTTATTGACCTAGCATTGCACAGCAACACATTCAGGTCATGTGGGTTTCCCTTATTAATTCCAGTATCCATCCGGTCAAGACTAGACCCGGAGGCAGGGATAGTCTTCAAACAATGACTAAGCCTGCCTCCTCGGTAATGACATGGTCTGGTCTTAGCGTAACTCCTCCTCCTGCCCATGATCACTGAGATTGGATGTCCCAGTGCATTCCCCCCTGTGGAACTTGCGCCAGCCATTCTATTGGCTGGGGCCCACTCCCAGGCAGCCCTGAGCCCGCCTCTTAAAAACAAAATGCAAACTATACAACAACCAATAAAACAATTAAAAAACAGCAGTTATGCTAAAACTAATCCCCAACCAGATATCCATCCCACCCACCCCAAAAGAGCAAAAAGGAGGGAAAATAAGAAAAAACTTAAAGTGCCACCGACTGCTTAAGGACATTTTAAAACACATAAAATCCCATATAAACATTCCTGTGATACTTCATTTGATTGCTTTTGGTATTTTTGCGATTCAGCCTAAACAGCAACTCAAAATTGTGCAACGAAAGTCTAGTACGATACTTTGCAGTTTTCAAAATCCTCTGCAGGGGTACGGAAACAGATGTTGCTGACCAGACAAATCATTACTGTTAGAATAAGGGAACTAATTCTTGATTTTAAGGAGTCACGTTTGTCCACTAGAAATTTGCAGAACCAACTTTTCTACCCACAGGAAAGGGCTGTTTGTTTCTGGTTTCCACAACGTGCCTGTTCCAAATAATCCAGCTTTCACCATCATATCTTAAAGGCAAGCACCTTTGTAAATTGGTGAGTTAATCTGAGTAATGCAGGGAGGGGGGGTTGCATTTGTGTGAATTTTGTGCCTGACTTTGTACGTTTCCTCCTTCCTTCCCCACCCTTTCTTCTCTTTGTGTTTTGTTGTTTTCAATTGTAAGCTTGAGGATTGTGATGGTGTTATTTTTACTCACCTGTAAGCCATCTTGGGAGCCTCTGTAGTTGAAGGGCTGGGGGTATAAATCTTCTGAATCAATCAGTACATCCTCTGTGTCCCCATCCAAGCATTTAATGACTCTTGGCTAGTTCATAATAATGAGTGATTAAGATAACAGATTGCATTGAACCAGCATGGTGAATTTTTGCAGCTAAGACTGCAAGCTCTAGAGCAGTTTCTCCTACTCATTTTTGGAACTGTAAGTACAATTCACTACATTTCTGCATCAGCTTGTGATTTTTTTCAAACACGTTCTCATTAAAATTCTCAAACACCCCCGTCCTTTTTCTTTTACACATTCTGCATGCATGACCTAACTTCCTGACATTAGCAAGCAATTTTAGCTTAATATTATGCATTTTGTATATTATTGTCACAAATATATTAATTTCCACACACATAGTCTCCGAACATGGGACGCGGGCGGCGCTGTGGGTTAAACCACAGAACCTAGGACTTGCCGATCAGAAGGTTGGCGGT